AACATTAACAATTTGGAAGCAACAAAAAAACTACAACAATCTCGGTGACAACGTACAACAACAACACAAATATAAGTAAACAAACAAACCGCGCGGCTGCAACAAACTCTGGGTGTTCAAGCAAAAAATATAAACGAAAATTTTTAGAAATATATTCCGGCATAAAGGTTGACATGTGACAAACGCTACGGGTACACTTGTAACTCTCTATAGCTATGCTTAACGTCTGTAAAAATAAGGTGGGGCTGTCATTTCACATGGTGATTCAAGCTACAGCAAACTCGTCTAGCCATTGGCCAATATTTATATATTTTAATAAGGCACTGTTCAAAGTTATCAAAATTGTAAAGCTCCTTATGCAAGTTTATAAATCGTATTATAAAACTCATGCATAATTAATGAGGAAAACACAATAGAAATCATTGTCCGTCCGTGGAGGAGGTTGTATGTCTGATACAAAATCGTCCTGATTTGCATAAACTTTAACTCCAAATTTCTTAGCCAAATTCAATTTTATCTTTAAAATTATAGTAGGACATGAATGTATACACCTAGACGTTTTATAAGTAATATACAATATTCGTGTCCGTGTTGTATCAGATATACAATCACTCGCCTTCGGCTCGTGGTTGTATTTCTAATACAACACGGCCACTCATATTGTATATATTACTAAGGGACGAGATTCCATCATCAAATTGAATAACAGCAACGGGTTGACGTTCAAACTTAATATCAACAAATGTTTAATTTCAGGCTGCAAATACACTCTGATAGACACCAGGGGTGTTTTCCAGTCCCCTGGCTTCCCTGGTGAATACCCAGATGGACAGCTGTGCTCGTGGAGGATCATGGTCCCTGTTAATCACACTGTGCAAGTTCGCTTCACTAACGTCTCTTTGAATGACAACGACACTTTGAGATATTCTGAAAGATACTCTACAAGAAGCAATGGAAGTTTTAGATCGTGGCATACGATTCCCCTTAATTTATCGGTACCGTTTACCTTGCTAAGCGACAGTGACGTACTGTTCGTCTTTAGTTCGGATGAATCAAAGACCAGCTCTGGATTCAGAGCAGAATACCACCATGGGTCCATACCACAAGGTGAGTAAAGATACGAAATCGTGTTTGGTAGCTAGTATAGAAAGTATTCCAATGTCAAATGTAATTTGCCGAAGAAAGAAAATCATTGATCATGTTGATGGGTTCCAAGCATCCCGAAGAGCGTCAAAGGCAGTCATGTTGGTGGTATAAGAAGGGATGTTAATAAATGAGACGTATTTTGTTCACCAACATGGTCTCGATTATGTAACGTGCAATAGAAGAATATGACCACTGAAAATTAGCTTTGGCCATCGGTCACTTCATTTACAACCAGCTGTGTTTTTATATCCCTAGCTACGACTACACCTACCGAAACATCTACAGCATCTACAGCATCTACAGCATCTACGGCATCTACGGCAACACCATCAGAGACATCTTCAATACCGTTGACTACACCACACAGTGAGTTGATTGAAGGTTTAGTTAAGCAAGCTGAAAAGTTTTGATCAATGAAAATTAAACTCTTAAATAGGGGAGTATGACAGCTAAAAAGAAGACATGAAGGATTGATTGACTCTTCCATGATGTATTTCATTGGACAATTCAAAATCTCTGAATGATTCAAAACAGTGCACATTCAGAAAATGGAGAGTGCCCTTCTTTCATGCTGGCTGCGTGCTGTATTTCTGAACGGAGCACGGAAAATATTTTTTAAAGAAAGAAAATATCCTTTCATAATTTTTTTTATAGAAATAAAAAAGAAAAAATCATCGACGTCAAAAAAAGATGACATACAAACAACTACTCAAACAACCAACTCAAAATCAACTGCAATAACAAAAACAAATATATCTACGATAACACCACAACGGACAATAACTACACAAGAGCCTTCAACTTCAACTAACTGCACTGCTGGTGACAGAGTCAAGGAAGCTTTAAYGAATTCCAATGAATGGAATGGAAAGCTTGTTGTCATAGTGATACCGCTGGCCTGTCTTTTAATTGTCATTCTTCTCGTCGTAGATATTGTGTATCGTCGCAGGTAAACAAAATATATGTTTGCTACTTATTTCTCCATCGATTTAACCATTATTTRTCCAAAAATGCTACAATTAGCATTTTGAAACTAAAAACTACCCATGGAGTGAAAATATAGTCAGGAGAGGCAGGGAAAGGAAAGTTTTAAGTGGAAGGAAATATTCAAATACTGAGCATTAAAAAAAGACTACTTCAAAACATTTGATAAATGAACACTAAGCTGGCTAAATAAGATAAAAGAGGTTGAAAACTTATGGAATGTATACATACGTATGTACGTATACACCTACTTGCAAGAAGGTTGTCATACAAGAATAGAACATTAGTAATTTAATGAGAAAGGAATACATTAAAAGACAAAAGAAAAGTTCAGCTTCAGTGATCTTCTTTTGTTCTTTAATATAATTCCAATCCCACTAAATCACTAATGTTCTATTGTCATATGACAACGTTCTTGCAAGTAGGTGTATACAGCTATTATATTTCAACTGAAGGGTTGGTGAAGGCTTTATTGCATGTTGCATTGTGGCATACCAAGCCTGAATTGCACTATGAATGATGTGAATATCAAGAATGTTCACAATGACATGTGTTTCCTGTATATTGATGGTTTTCATAACGGCCATGTTGGAGGACCTTAACAAAAGAATTGTCAATAAATTATTTTGTTATATCCTCCAACATGGCTGCTGAGTCTTTGGTTATTTAATTCTCTTGGGAATGGTTGAATACCATCAATAATCTTCTGACATTAATCACATATTATGAATATAATACATTTCAAACTTAGCAAACGCAAGACGTAAAATGCAAGATGCAAGAGATACAACAAAACTTTCACCATACTTTTTTGAAACAGCCGTATATACACGAAACTTTTGAACGAAAATTGCTTGACTTTGTAATTTATTTTYAAGCTTACCAGTGGTACTTTTTACTTTGCTACCTCAGTTCTTCTTGCTTGCATGTTTTTCCTTCTTCCTTTTGGCTTTTCAGGCTTTGTCATGTTTGTCTACTTGCTCTATATATCTCTGTTTCCTTCTTTTTGGTCTATCTTATAGTTGTTTTCTGCTCCTATAACCTCTCTTCGTTAGTGCCGCTTTCATTGACGGCTTTCCCATACTTGTGGACTACAGTTTTATGCAAATCGATTGCACCATTCNTATGACAACGTTCTTGCAAGTAGGTGTATACAGCTATTATATTTCAACTGAAGGGTTGGTGAAGGCTTTATTGCATATTGCATTGTGGCATACCAAGCCCGAATTGCACTACGAATGATGTGAATATCAAGAATGTTCACAATGACATGTGTTTCCTGTATATTGATGGTTTTGAAGGCGGCCATGTTGGAGGAACTTAACAAAAGAATTGTTAATGAATTCTTTTGTTATATCCTCCAACATGGCCGCCGTGTCTTTTGTTATTTAATTCTCTTGGGAATGGTTGAATACCATCAATATTGTTCTATGCTGACATTAATCACATATTATGAATATAATACATTTCAAACTAAGCAAACAAGAGGCAAGACTTAAAATGCAAGATGCAAGATACAAAAAAACTTTCACCATACTTTTTTGAAACAGCTGTATACACGAGTCTTTTGAACAAAAAACTACTTGACTTTGTAATTTATTTTCAAGCTTACCAGCGGTACTTTTAACTTTGCTACCTCAGTTCTTCTTGCTTGCACACGTTTTTCCTTCTTCCTTTTGGCTTTCCAGGCTTCGTCATGTTTGTCTACTTGCTCCATATATCTCTGATCTCTGTTTCTTTCTTTTTGGTCTCTCTTATAGTTGTTTTCTGCTCCTATAACCTCTCTTCGTTAGTGCCGCTTTCATCGACGGCTTTCCCATACTTGTGGACTACAGTTTTATGCAAATCGATTGCATTATTATCTTACTGACAGTGAGACGACCACACCATTCGGAACCTTCCTTTTGATTGCCCATACTAAAGCACCTCATTTGTTAGCTTAGGTTTAGGGCTAGTTGTTTGGAAGACCAATCTATTGTCAATGAAATCCAATGTATTGTTTTCTAAACCAATGATGAAACTTGTTRAAAACCGTGCAAGAACGCCCCCTTACTGAAGTGTCATGCCTCATTATCAGTGTTCTAACAAGGCTTACATTTTTGTAACTTCCAACACTTCCAACGCACATGCAATATGGTACTTATATTCTGACGACAATGCCATCCAATACACTGTCACTCWCAYTTCAATGCAAATGCGTGGGAATGAACAGGCCTCGTCAAAAGCTCTTTTATCAGTAAATTATGCAGTTTTGTTGARTGTAWATGTTTTTATGACTGATATAGATTGAAAGCAAAAACATCTTCAGACWGCGCAAGTGAAACAAGGTAAGTCTTTTGATTTGTTGAGGTCTTCCCACAATTCGGTACAACAATCAATCCTCATAGTCTTCCATTGAAAACGTGTTCTCTAACAAACTTTCCCCCGTAAGAGTTTTTTAGTTGGTATAAGAATAATTTTTCAATATTTATCTTTTTTCTTTTCTCTTGCTTCAATAGACATGTGGATCAATTACCATTGGTAGTGAACCCAACTTACGACCGGTAATGACAAAAGACACAAACTGTGTCCTCTTCTAAGTTTAATATTTCATTTTTGATATGTTAAGACACCCAAAGATGCTCGCTGTCGGTAAAACTCAAACTTTTTTGTCCTCCTTTTTCATCTGTTTTCTTTTCTTTGGTGTCATTCTTTAGTGTCATTGGAAGAATAAAGAACGTAATATCACTTTTTCCCTGCACTCCTTCGAACGGCAAACAAAAATGGTGTGCATTTCCCTATAAAATACAAACTCGAGGATCATTTGCATGCGCGGACTGAGACTTGTTTTCTCATCTATTACATTCCTCTATATTTAGTATGTTTAATTTTTCAAGGGGAGCTATCCTACTGACTCAACCGAATGACACAACAACTTTAACCACCATATTGGAAGTCAATGACAATGGCACTGGAATGACCCAATCTGTGTTTGAAAAACCACCCGATTATGAGGACGTCGACAACTGGAAACCAAAAAACCCAACTCCTAATATGGATCSTGAAATCCCAGAATGCAATGGTAGCAATGCTTGTAGTGATACCCAAGGTGGACTATTTGATAAGACGACCACTGAGGAAAAAAGCAAAACGAGTGAAAATCCTTTCTATGAATCGGTATTGACTTCTCCTCCGCTTGTCGAGGGGAATGACCTTTATGAAAGGTAGCTATTTTTTAAATCAAGACTAATATCTAAATACTGGMAAATATYKCTATGTTAAAATCCATTAAAATATCTTTATTGTAAAGATACTGAAGATGGCAAAGAATCCCGCCAAAGTTTTTAGACCTTATAATATGACCCGCAACTGTCCCGTTACTTCCCTATCCTCATTCCTCCTCTTCCCCCTCATAAATGTTGGAAGAGATCATTGTTCAGWAATCATTCAATCATTCACTTGACTGAATCCAGCTATCAGACTAGATTTAACCAAGATTAGCCATCCAATCTTTTCTACAT